TGGTCAGCCATGTGGGAATCCAGTGATGTAATCATTACATCATCTGCTGGTCCCAACAAGGGATCTTGGTGTTTAGGATAAATTACATGAGAACCAACATTTATTTCTTCTTCAGTTCCCATAGGCCAGAAAATACAGATTTAAGGAACCGAAAGATGTGTCCTCTTTCATTTTGGGGGTAAAGTTTGGAAAATGTGAATTAGGAGAGGAAGGGATGTGAGGGGGAAGAACTAACGACTACAGTGTGTGTGTGTGAGACAGGGAAGAGGGTGCGTGGGACCGGGGGTTATTAAGTTTTACTGTAGATACCAATAATGTCTTCCTTCAGTGTTCTTAAGGTTTTGGTAAAGACTTAACTAGCTTTTTATTAATTTTTTTAAATGTATTTATTTTTGTGGGGTAGAGTATGGATTTTCACAACATCCATAATGTCTGTAATTATCAAGTCACAGATAGAGACATGTTCATCTTCTGCATTATCGAACGTCATGGTGGGCACATTCACTAATGACTCTACCATTTTTCTTTCGAAGTATTTATTGACTAATGACTTTTTTACTTTGCTGTGGTATACCATTTTATAACCCTAGTGTGTATGCATTCTTGTGTCTGTAATCTGAGATAGCATGGATGAACCAGTGCTGTGAAGATGTAATAAGGGCTTGCGCATGTCATAATGCAACCTAAACCAACGAGGAGCATAAGGGTTGTGGGGAGTTGACTCACAACTCTGAGAGATTCAGTCATGCAAGGTCCTGCTCACCCATGAAAGTCTCTAAGTGCAAGAAATCTGATTCTAAAATCATCTCCCTTTATATTGGTCTATCTTTTGAGACGCTTTATTGTTTCAGAGCTACCTTGCCATGAAGATTCATCACCTTTTCTTAGCTCTTCTCATCTTTGGGCTGCCGTCTACCTCAGGTAAGACTTCAGTAACAGTCAGAAACACTGGAGCAAACGAGAAAGGGGTATGAAATGACACACCTAACCCAACATTTGTTGACAAGTGACTTAGTAAGGTGCGCAAGGAAAATTTTTGAATGAATTTGTTGAATGGATTAATTTGTTTATTTACAAATAACCTTTTGAGGATAGAATAAAATTTTGAAAATTTCAAGATTCTCTATTTCCTATAAAATTTCTCATATCACCTAAAGGGTAGAATCTTAGATTATCTAAGAAAAGGAATTTAGAGATTATCTCCTCTGCTTTTCATTTTACAAGTAATGATTTTGAGACTTTGAGTTCAGATCCTCTAACTCCCAGGACACCAGACAAATTTTATTTTCATTCTCATATTTCTTGGCTTAGCATAAGTAAGGTACACATAGTATCCATTTCATAGCATATTATCATGAGCCTTAAATATGCTAATTCATGTGAGGGACTTTTAAGAAGTACCAGAAAAATTACAAGAACTCAAGAAATGTTAACTATTATTATGACTATTTTTACCTTTTATTTTCAGAGGGATTTTTACTCTAGGGTGTGTGTACTCGCTGAAGAGAGATAGAGAAAGACAGAGACAGAAAGTGAGAAATCGCCTCCCCCACCCCAGGAGGATGGTCACACTGCAATCCCTTCTCCTCCATTCTCCTTTTGGGATTTAGAGCACGAATGCACACATGCCCAACATGAGTTTCATGAGTTTCAAGACTTTGTGTCCGGAACTCGAACCTGGTCAACCATGTGGGAATCCAGCACCTTAACCATTAAACCATCTCCTGATCCCCTATTTTAAGCTTTTTCAAAGTTTATCCTCTTCAGAAATTTCTCCTTTCAGTTCAGAATACTCTCAAGCAGGATGGGCCTGGAAAAATGCTCAGATATTGTTGGAGTTTATCTTTAGAAGAATTTTTAAAAAATAAAATTTGCCATTCAGCACATGTACTCACTGGAGAGGGACAGAGAGTGAGAAAGAGACAGGGAGAGAGAGAGAGAGACAACAATCTGTTCTCCTCCATTCAATCTTGGGGTTTGGGGCACACATACACACACATGCCTGGCACATTTTTCAAGTTGCCAGGTCTAGGACTCAAACCACTTAGGTAGTCATGTGAGATCCAGGTACCTTAACCACCATGCTACTGGCTGGCCCTGGAGCTCGGGAGCTGGTGAAGTGATAAGGGTCTGACAGAATTAAGAATGGAAAGGGATGGAGGAGATAGAGAATATCAAGAAGATGAAAATATTGGTGGCATGCAGGAGAGAAGGAAGAGGAATCAGTGATAGTGCAGAAGGGTTTAGGGTGTGTGATTTATAGAGTTGGGGTGCCATGAATAGAAATGTAAATGAAGAAAAATGGTTTTGATTTGGGGATGAAGTCAGTGGAAATGATTTTAGAAATGGTTACTTTGAAGTGACAGTGAGACATCTAAGTGGAAATAATCTAGTGGAGATGTGAAACTAGGAGAAAGCTAGGCTGAAGATAAACATTGTGGGACCTTCCGAAAAAGTATGACAATTGAAGTGACATGAATAGATTACTCCTTCAAGGGTAATTCTTCTGTCCTTTCTCTTTCTGTCGGGCATGCTGTGTTCTGGGCCTGATAGTGATAAGTGCTTGTATTAGCGAAAGACGAGAACAACACAGACGGAAGCTGTGCTGTTTTCTCCCTTCTCCTTCTCCCAATCCTCCTCCTCTTTACTCTCCTTCATTCAACCTTTCTCAATTTTTTTTTATCATTCTCAAACATAAAAAGAAGCTTACAAATTGTACATAATTAAAGGTTTTTTTCCCCAAAAGTTAAATAATTAGTAAGTTTCAAGCAGAGGAAAAACAGGTTAGAAAAAGTAATAGAACAGGGGCACTATGTTCCAGAATGGCCCCCAGGTGAGGTGTCTGAAAGGAGAGGGCAGAGGAAGTCCTTGGCATGGATTTCAATTAGGAATGGAGTGGTATAGGTTACCTCCTGGGAAACTGCACCTGAGCTTCACCTGCCTAGAATGGCAGGACATCCAGCATAGCATGGTCTCATCCTTGTTCTGGAAAGTCAGCCTCGACCTTTCTCCCAGGACAATCCAATGACGCTGGGCTTCCGCAGCCCAAAGGAAGGTCAATTGGTCTTCTACAACTGCACCTGAGGCTCCTGTCAGTCCCTCCTCTAAAATATATTTTTAAATCTAATTAAAAACTATTTTGTTACCCGTGGGCCAGTCTCACTAATATTTTCTCACAAAGATTTATGTTCAAAATCTCACCTAGAATTTTATGGCTATATCCTCAAATAAGTGTATTCCTACTGTTGTTTATTTATCTATCCATTTGTTTTTAGGAGACGAAGATCCCTATGAAGTCACCAGTATCCTGGACTGTAAAAATCAAACGATATGTAATTCCCAAGATAAAACCGGAAACTGCTCTAATGTTCAGATCGGAGTGTGTGTCTTGCATGTCAGAAGACATGCAAAGCAACTAACCATGGAGAAACAGAACGTTACGAAGACAGGGTGATGTACTCCTTGTCTTATTAAAAAATAAAGCCTGCCCCCTTTTCTCTTTCTCTTTTTTTTATCTCTAGTGAAATACTCATTTATTAATGGACAGTTTAGACAAAAGCTTAACAAGGGTTGTTTTTTGTCTTTTTTTTTTTTTTAGAGAATTTTGCTATAGGGTGAGTTCACTCCCTGCAGATACAGAAACAAAAACTCACTCCTCTCCCCACCACCACGGGGAGGGGGGCGGGGCGATGGCCACGCTGCAAGCCCTTCTCTTGCTTTCTCCTTTTGGGATTTTGGGCATGCATATACATGTGCCCAGCCTGAATTTCAGATCTCCGGGTCCAGGACTGGAACCATGGTCAGCCATGTGGGAATCCAGTGATGTAATCATTACATCATCTGCTGGTCCCAACAAGGGATCTTGGTGTTTAGGATAAATTACATGAGAACCAACATTTATTTCTTCTTCAGTTCCCATAGGCCAGAAAATACAGATTTAAGGAACCGAAAGATGTGTCCTCTTTCATTTTGGGGGTAAAGTTTGGAAAATGTGAATTAGGAGAGGAAGGGATGTGAGGGGGAAGAACTAACGACTACAGTGTGTGTGTGTGAGACAGGGAAGAGGGTGCGTGGGACCGGGGGTTATTAAGTTTTACTGTAGATACCAATAATGTCTTCCTTCAGTGTTCTTAAGGTTTTGGTAAAGACTTAACTAGCTTTTTATTAATTTTTTTAAATGTATTTATTTTTGTGGGGTAGAGTATGGATTTTCACAACATCCATAATGTCTGTAATTATCAAGTCACAGATAGAGACATGTTCATCTTCTGCATTATCGAACGTCATGGTGGGCACATTCACTAATGACTCTACCATTTTTCTTTCGAAGTATTTATTGACTAATGACTTTTTTACTTTGCTGTGGTATACCATTTTATAACCCTAGTGTGTATGCATTCTTGTGTCTGTAATCCTTTTCTCCAGACCCGCCTCCTCCATTTAATTTTTATTTTTGGTTAAAATCTTCAATGTCACATGTCAGTGTTTGCATCATAACTGATGATTCCCTCCCCTGACTTTACACTCAAATACCCTCATGTTACCCAGACCGGACCTGATAAGGGGGGACAGTGAGTTTTGATTCTGGGACTCTTCCCCTCGCCCCTGGCCTCTGTAATGCTGACACTACTGCACCAAAGTACCTCTCCAAGATTCCGGATTCCAGCACATCAGCTTCCCTCTCACTATCTCTCTGTCTCTCTGTGTCTGTCCGGGGAGCACTCACTCACTACAGCAAACAAACAAAAAACCTAACAACTCTCAAAAATGAAAACAAAACAAACAAACAAAAACACGATTTATCTTCTGTTATTAATAGAACGGATGGGGCCATGCCTCATAAATGGACATCCGGGTACTGATGTGCTTAGAGGAAAGTTTTCGCTAGTTTAAGAATTTATCCCGGCAGCTACAAGCCCCACAAGGGGCGCCACCCCCTCCCTGGAGGAGCTGGGCCCCTTTGTGATGCCGATGATGAAAGCGCCCGGGGGAATATGACAACGAAGTCCCACCCCCAACCGCAGTGTCCTCTCCACCCCAACCTAAGCAGCTCCCCGCTCGCCTCCCTCGGGCCCAACCCCAGGAAGTCAGATGTCCTTGTCCAGCAGGTCGTTGGGCTCGGGGCGATGGACGAAGAGGAAGTGGTCCCGGCGCAGCCAGCTGCAGGACGCGGCCTCGACGGCGCTGCGCCGGGCTCTGCTCAGCGAGCGCGCGCGTTCCTGGACGAAGGTAACCTGCGCTGGGAAGACCCAGCCCCTAGGTGGCGTGAGAGGAGCTGGTCCCACCCTGCCCTTTGGACGGGACAAGTATAGATTCAGTGCCCACACCCAACCTGCTTGCTCTAAAAAACGTGCATTTAACATTGTAGAATGTGCTGTCCATGCTTCTCACTGCTTTAAATGCTTCGTTTTCCGGTGCTATACTTCCCCTCAGCCACCAATTGCCCAGGGCCTGTTGCACTAATTTTCCAACTGCCTTCCTAGTCTGAGGCAAACTGTCAAATAAAAATAAATAAATAAATAGAAAAAGAAAAAAGAAAAGAAAGAAAAACCCAATTTCATAGAGAAGCAGTAAGGGAGAGGGGGAAAAAGAGGTGATTCTATGGCTTAGCTATTTGTTGAGGGGAGGAGAGGGGACTGAATTGTATACTCCCCCACTTAGGTGACTACTGGTGTGTGTACCCAAACAAACAAGAATCAGTAACAACAGCAATGGCAAAAACAAGCAGGCAAAACCATGATTATAACATGCAGTAATGCTTTCTCGATTGCACGTGTGAAGTGGGTACTGTTAGTACACCTGTGTACAGATGAAGACGCTTAGGCACCTGAGAGGTTAAATAACCTTGAGATTGTACAGGTTGTACAATGTGATGCTGGGGATTTAATCTGTGCAGTCCACTGCTAGGGTCCAAGCCTTGACCCATTCTCCAAAGAAAGCAGCCAAAGGAGAACAGAGAACTTCAAGCAGCATATTAAAGTGCTGGAACTAGGGGGACCAGCAGGTGGCTTGTGCGTTAAGCCGCTAGACACTCCCACATAGCCGACCATGGTTGGAGTCTTGGACCTGGTGGCTTGCTTTCTCTCTCTCTCTCTCTCTTTCTCTCTCTGTCTATCTCTGGTCAAATTAAAAACAAATGCATGAATAAATAAAATTAAATAAAAATAATTTAAAACAAAAGGGCTGGAACTGGTTCACAGCAGTCAAAGTCAACCAGCTTGGGGACCAGCAGTTAGCGTACTGGCTATGTTGCTGGACTCCCATGTAGTCAACTGTGGTTCAAGTCCTAGACCTGATGGCTTAAACTCATGCTGGGCACGAGTGCGTGCATGCCCAGGATCCCAAGAGGAGAATGGAGGAGAAGGGATTGCGGTGTGGCCATACCCCTGGGGCGGGGGAGAGATTTCTTGCTTTCTGTCTCCCTGTCTCTGTCTTTCTGGCAAGTGCACGTGCTCTATAGCAAAACCTCTCAAAAAAAAAAAAAATGAAAAGAAAAGAAAAACGAAAAAGTCAAGCAGCTTGATTGAGTAAAAGTTGTGTGTCCTTTAATTTCTACAGAAGTAGACATGTTGCCCTTCAAAGTGAATTGGTAAGGAACTGGAAAATCTGCAGGTAATACACAGAGGAAGAGCTAATTTTAAAACTATTCATGTGAACAATGTCTTTTTGGAGCCAGCGGGCAGTGTAGGTTGAGGCACTAGACTCCTACATGGCCCACCACTGTTGCGGTCCCGAGCCCTGTGGCTTGAAACCCATGCTGGGGCGTGTGTGCATGTTTGCCCAAAATCCCGAGAAGGGAATGAAAGACAAGGGATGGTGCTGTGGCCATACCCCCTGGGGGATGATTTCTCACTTTTCTTCTGTCTCTCCATCTTGTGCGCATGCCCTATAGCAAAAGTCTCTCTAAAAAGAAAAAAAGTATTTTTAGCTTATAATTTCTCAAATTGGACTAAGTTAAATATATAATTACAAGACACTGCAATTCTCTTTTAAGGAAACTAATTATTGTATATTAATATCAGAAAGACATCAACTTAAATAAACCCTGATCTAGTTCAAAAGACTTTGAACTTAGCAATAGTACATTGAGGAGCGTGATGATTTATCTTTGAGATAACCAGAAAATAGAGAGTATATTGGTAACTCTGTGTATGACTTTAGTTTTTATTTTATTATTTTTTGAGACTTTTTTTCACTATAGGGCGTGCTCACTCACCAGACAGAGACAGAGAGACAGAAAGTGAGAAATCACCCCCCAGGGAGGATGGCCATGCCGCAATCCTTTCTCCTCCATTATACCCTCAGGATTTTGGGCACACACGCACACATGCCCGGTGTGAGTTTTAAGCCACCAGGTCCAGGACTCGAGCCACGGTCAACTACATGGGAGTCCAGCGACATAGCCATTATGCTAACTGCTGGTCCCTGTGTATGACTTTATATTAATAAACAAGAAATGTGTTGAACAAGAAATGTGTAAGGCATTGCTTATCCATTTTCCAAGCAATGTTAAAAACATTAACAGGACAGTTTTGAAGTTCCCAGATAAATTTAGATCACCACTGAGTTCCCATCTCCCTGGTAGCAGAAAGACTTCTGAAGAGGCTCTGCCTGAATTAATTAGCTGAGCTGTCTCCACAACCAGAGCCCAGGAAGTGGATATCAGAACCTTTGCTCTCTGAAAACAAATGACCATATTTTGATTTCAATTTAACTCAGTAAATTTATTTACTGAGTAACCATGTTTTCTGCATGTTGTCTCAGTTCAAACACAGTTCTGCAGCTGGGAGTGTCTGTCTTATTTGCCATTTATGCTTTCCTCATATAAATTGTTTCATAGTTTCCCAAGAAAATGGAATAATATTTGTAATTGATCAAGTTGTACATTTCATATTTAGTGCTATCAAGATGGGAAGAAAATTGGTATAAGCTATCTGAAAAGCTATCAGTATGGATCAAGAGATTTTAAATAGTCTTAATTTTTTAGATAGATTTAATGAATAAAAGATAAGTAGATAGATTTAATGAATGAAAGATAATCTTTTATAGTACATGATTTCCTGTAGCATAATGGCAACAATGGATGCACAGGTTCTGGGGCAAGGAGCTCTGGGTGGCTCTACTGGTAGCCATGAAATCAATTTCTTTTCTTTTTTTTGGAGAGGTTTTTGCTATAGGGTGTGTGCGCTGGCCAGACAGACAGAGAGAGATAGAAAGCGAGAAATCGCCCCCAGGAGGAATGGCCATGCTGTAATTCCTTCTCCTCCATTCTCCTTTTGGGATCCTGGGCATACATGCACACGCGCCCAGCATGAGTTTAAGCTGCTGGGTCTGGGACTCGAACCACAGTTGACTACATGGAAGTCCAGCAACATAACCATTATGCTATCTGCCGGTCCCGAGATCAGTTCTTTAGAGGGTACAATTTTGCTAGTAAAGATGCCACCTCTCTCTCTATATATATAAATTACTTTCTAGAGCTCAGTAGTAGAGATGGGGTGATACAGATGAGCCATAGAAAATATGTTAATATACACAAATACTTTTTTTTTTTTTAAATTTTTGCCATTGGGTGCATGAATTCACCAGAGAAAGACAGAGGCAGAACGAAAGTGAGAAACCACCCTTCAGGGGGAATGGCCATGCCACAATCCCTCTCCTTCATTCTCCTCTTGGGATTTTGGGCATGGACACACA